AAAAAAAAAGAAATTGATTGTGAGAAACAACACAGTTAAAATAAATGTTGGTTTTAGGTGGCTACAGTGTCAATGGAGGATCTGGGGAAATTACTTATGGTCGGAAGTCGTTGGGGCAAGAGCTGAGGGTTAACAATGTGACCAGCTCTGAGTTCACCAGTGTTCAGCATGGCAGTCGTGCGTTAGCCAACAAAGACATGAGGAAATCACAGGGTAAGTGTGGGAAAACCAGAGAACTGATCACGTTTGCTGTAAAGAAAACACCTCTTAATCCTGAATGTCTCAGTTTTTACTGATGCCCTGCATATGAACGCATATGTGATAATTGTTTGCATTCCTTATAAATGGCTTCTTAGAAACCCAAAAGGAAGGGTTGAAAACTTTCTAGGAAAGGGTTCTTTTAAAAATAAGATGAGAAGACTGGAGAAGATTTTAAAGAAAAGGTTTTCTTCATTTCTGTGTATTCTGGATCATGGTATATAAGGGAATATGGGTCTGCGTGAAGTGGGACCTTTTCTGAAATTAAGCATGCCAGTACTACTTTCTACCTTGTAAACATAAACCTTACCATATAAGTGAAGTGCCTTGAAAGTGTAATGGTTCAAGATGATAGATTCCCTTGCCCCCCAAAGGAACTTTTATTGGTAAAGTTGAGTATAGTTGTTGGGATATAATTATTCTTTACATTCATTGTATGCTAATTTTTTTCCATCCTGTGTGTGGACACCTTTTTCCTGTTGCCCCTGCCACCTGCCCCCTCCCCGATTGCCTTTATTAGATATTTTTAAAAGTGATTTTTAGAGACGTAATCAGAAGTAGCTGGCAAATTGAAAGACTAGTGTTTCTTGATAGCAAGTCCTCCTTCCAGGTGCAGAATTAAGAATTTTTTAATGACACATGGTGGTAGAGAGAGAGCGAGCGAGCTCAGGTTTATTGGTTGATAACTTCGTAATAATATTGTGTATTTATCTTCACTGAAATAGTCATTAGCCTGTTGGCCTAGGGGATTGGAAGATTCCTATTCTTTTTCACTGATTTGTATGTTGTTAACAGTCTTGTATTTGCTCCTTGTTGTTGTTGTTGTTATTATTATTAAGTGCCATCTCATAGCGACCCTATGAAGGAGAGTCCTCGATGCTTGGGTGCCTTTCATCCTCTCTCCAGGTTTAAAGGGTTTCCGGAGGCAAGCTATTAATGGAAGTGGATGCCACTCCTCCTTCCAAGCTTGTTTTAATCGGGGAGCTTCACCCCACTCTCTGTCTGCATTGGGTAGCCCATCATTAACGTATTTGACACACCAGTGTCACGGTGTTTAGCCTCACAGCAACCAAAAGTGAATGCAGTACGGCTACTTGTACACCAGGGCTATATGACCTAGAGGAATGTCTGAACAAAAACAATGAAAGACAGATCCGAGGGCAGCGGATTAAAAGTCACCCACCTTTGGCTTGGTAGCGTCACTTTCTGTCCACTGGGCCAGCTGATCCCTCTCTCTCTCTATGTTGATATTACTGTTGTTAAGTGCTGTCGAGTCGCAGGCGACTCATTGCGACCCTATGAAGGAGAGTCCTCGACGCTTGGGTGCCTTTCATCCTCTCTCCAGGTTCACAGGGTTTCCTGAGGCAAGCTATTATGGAAGTGGATATTTGCTCCTTAAAGAGATGCAGCTGTACACTTTGATCTCTCAGCATGTATAATGATAGTACATAGAACCGTTGAAATGGAGTTGCAGTTAAGTGCTGTCCAGTTGAGCACGACTCATAGCAACCCTATGAACAAAAGATCTGAACCCTGTTCTATAATTATCATCGTTTCTCTAATGTTCACAGTTTCCAAAGGCATGTTGTTAAGGAAGTAGATTCCAGTCCTGCTTCCAAGCCTGTCATCATCTGGGAGCTCCACCAAACATTGTCTACCATGGCTAGCCATTTTGGCATTTGACACACTAGTTGTGTTGTGTTCACTGTCACAGCAACCCCAGGTTATCTCAGTACAGTATTTTTCATCTTGAATCTAATATTATTAGTAATATCCAGCATTATATTAGCACTCCTATTTGTTCTTAACATTAAAAAAGAGAAAGGCTCTCATTTTCCACTTTCCCATGGTGGCATGCCTTGTGATTAGATGTTTGTTAAACTGAATGTGTGGTTGATATTCATCAAAACTTTGTTCTTGGGAAATGATGTGAACAAGAGACCCCTCTCTGGTGGTATACCTCTATGAAAAATGAAGCATAGGCTCTTTTTCTACCTTATTATTCCTGACTTGAGGAAATTGTTTAGCTGTACTCAGGCGCTTTATCAGAATGCTGGAAGCAGTTTGGAATATACTGGAAATGGTTTTCTTCATTTCTATGTATGTGCTGCATAGTGGTGTATATGTGGATATGGGTCTGTATGGAGTGGAGCCTTTTGAAATTAAGTGCACCACTACTACTTGCTACCTGTAAACACAAGTGTTACTTGCCCCTTAGCCTTTCTGTTCTCTTACTTTTGTTCCTTTGAAATGAGATTTTTATTATCCTGGATGTATCTATCCACCCATCTCTTTGAGTAGATTTTTTTTTTTAGACCTAACTGTATATTAGGTATTTTACTTGGCTTGAAATAAATGAACAAAGCTGGTAGTATCTGCATTTACTGAACTTTTATTGTCTAGTGGGCTGGGCTTTGTGCATACTTTAAAATATTGGGGCTATAAGGAAAGGGAGTTCAGATGGCCCATTGGTAAGAAGCTGTGCTGCAGTCCCAAAGGTATGCTGTTCAAATCTGCCAGCAGCTCTGTAGGCGAAGGATAGACAGGCTCCTTCCATGCATTTTATTGCCTCTGAAAGACCTCTAGAGGATCAACTTTGGGTTTAGTGCTGGCTTAGTGGCAAACAACAGCAAGAACAAGGTTACTGTGGGAAGCTCTGGTGGCCTAATAATGCTAGGAAGCTGTGCTGCAATCACAAAGGCCCTTGGTTTGAATCCACCATCTGCTCTGTGGGAGAGAGATGGGCAGTCTCCTCCCATGTGATTTACTACTTATTAAAACCCATTGGAAGATTGGTTCCAACTTGATGGCACACGATGACAGCAAAGTTACTGTACTTTTTAATAACCCATGGACAACAAAATGTTTCTGTTTGTAGAGCGATCGATGTCTTATTCTGATGAGTCTCGACTGTCGAATCTTCTTCGGAGGATTACCCGGGAAGACGACAGAGACCGAAGACTGGCTACTGTAAAGCAGTTAAAAGAGTTTATTCAGCAACCAGAAAATAAGATGGTAAGTGTGATATGCTTGAAAATATCAATAATTATTGTATTTCCAGAATAGACATAGTGCTGTGTAGGGTGGTTTAAGAAAGAACATCTTCCCTTATTCCAGGTTTATGTGATTTATATCATAATCTAGAATTTAAGACATACCCTTCATGTGTAATTTATGTACCTTTGTCCATTACTGGATCCACATTAGTGCCTTGTGCAGTAATGGACTTGGAATATTTTTATAACACATTTTATCCGGTGAGTATTTCTACTGTCCTCAGAATTTTGTGTTTGTCATTTTTGAAATAGAAACTTGGAGGAGCAGTTTTTTTTATCTGTAAGCTTGGTTTGGTGACCAGGGCTAAGTAAATGTAGAAAAAATCAGGAAAATCCCAAAACTCCAAAAGTGGTGGGTTTGGTTATTAAATTACAGCTTACTTTCTATGCCAAATTAGAGTCACACAGTGCCGTCAGTACAGTGATGCACCTCCATTGACGTTAGAGGGAATCCAGGAACGGGTTCTTTATGTCTTAAAGCTGTATGATAAGATTGACCCAGAAAAGCTTTCAGTAAATTCCCATTTTATTTTAGACAGTTTGGACCAAGTGGAGATTATCGTGGCCATGGAGGATGAATTTGGGTTTGAAATTCCTGATACAGATTGCAGAAAAATTAATGTGTCCACGAGAAATTGTAGATTACATTGCAGATAAGAAGGATGTGTATGAATAGAATAATAAGGCCACCTCTCTTCCCTGTGAGAAGGCCTGTTAGCATCATTGCCCATTTGGACGGAGTAATTCTGTTCAACTTGTATTTAAATTGTCTAAGTGTTTTGTCCTTTGACAATAAATCTAAAAGACTAAAAAAAAAAATTAATGTGGAATAAAAGAAGAATTAGACTACCTTAGCATTTGGTTTCAAGCAAGCCATACTCATTTTATTATTAAAAATTTCTGATTTGAGCCTCTTTTAACCCACTGTCTAAATTCCCCCACTAATGTCTGTTTTGTTTGTGTATTTATCTCTTTATCTGTACATCAGATTTTTAAAAATAAATTTCAAAGTGAATAAAACACACTTCTTTTTTTTT